AGCATCTTCCAATAATCTCGTCTTTTTACTTAATCAATTTAACATTTTGTTCACGAGTCAATTTTGATCTGAATCGCTACAACTTTCTTGTTGTTTTATCCCTAATTAGGAAATGCATGTACACTTACTTACTGATTTATTTGATGATATATAATTTTTTTAATTTTTTTTTTTTTTCTCTTTTGAATAACAGCTTGGAAAATTGGTACTACAGAATTCTTATCGTGATGACTGGAAATCTTAAAAACGCCGAAATTGCAGTTGATGCCTTGTCCATATGGTATGTATTATACACACTCTTCATTACTCATCTTCTATATATACTATGTTGTATGTATGTGTTTTCGATTCGAGTAAAAAATTCATATATTGCTTATTAGTAAAAAGTAAAATAAAATATTATTATCTTTTTTTTTTTTTTATCANNAGAGGTTGGTACGGACCTTACACAAAAGCAGCCTAAAAAAAGATGGAGGAAGAAGAAGAAGAACAGGAAAAGGAGAAGGACACACAAAGAATAACCAAGCTTTTGCGGTCATATTAATTATCTCTCTCTTACACACATTTGTTTTCGGGAGATTCTACAGTCCCGTTACGAAATATCAACGGATACAAATCCCGACGGAATGGTTCCGTAACGGGACTGAAGCATTTCCTTTTGTTTTGTTTCTTTTGGTTTTGGTTGTATTCATTTTTTTTTTTCTTTTGGTATTGCAGAATTTTGCAATAAAAGTGAACCCCAACAAATATGGATGGCAAAACAAATTAATATCAGTAATGCAAAGTTGTCCAGGTACGTACGTGCTTACATACATTGTTTTTCAAGATTGTTAATCGTATTATTAGTAGTGTTGTAACAAGTTTAATTGTTTTGTCCGTAAAAATAAAAAAAATTAGGAGCAAAATTTAACATGGATGAAAAGGGGATTGTTGAGGTGTCTGGAATATGCGATCCGTATGAAGTGTGGAGAAAGATAGGACAATCGAGCCGAATAGAACCTGTTCGGTTTCAGTATGGCCAATGCTCCAGCAACCTCTTCTTCGTTCCAGAGAATAATACTAAGAAGGAAAAGAAGAAGGAAAAGGAATCATTGGCCGTTGCACCTCAGATAAACGATCACAAACAAGATGAAGGCACCATTGCTCATGCTCCGTCTTTACAACAACCGATCATCCCTTACAATAATTACAACAGCATTCCACTCCCATCCCCTTTTAACTATTATAATAACAATAGATATTATGATTACATTTATAATCATCTCCCTTTCATGTACAATCTCAATCCCAATGGATTAGGTGGTGGTGATGGTTATTCATATCAACAATTCACCAATCCGTATTTTGTAAGGACAACACACTATAGTACTCATTAATGGAAGTGGTTGTGTTTTACTATATGTCTTTCCTGCCTTTGTTTTTTGTTGTCACATACACAATTATTTCTTGAATTAATTTCATTGGTGTTTTTGGTGAGACTCAAAGCAACATATTTATCAGTTCTATTCCTAATATGTTATACATCTTGGGGGAGGCTATAGCAGAATCGATTTTTTTGTTATTTAATCTGAACTCCTTTTTGGTGTTCCGTACGGAGGAGTGGTGAAAAGTCTTATGGATGACAAATGATTGCATGCCATTCTCCACTGATTGCACCTTTTTAGAGATGAAAAACAATCACACGAGTTATAGTATTTGGTTCCGGGAGAATGACGATGGTGCAAAATTACAAGGATCAATAAAATTCTGCTGACGTTCTAGGTCAGCTGAGGCTCTCGACTCACGTGAACTTTATGCGGTACATTTGAAAGTGCCATTGATACAAAGGTCCACATTAGGTGTATTGGTTGAGTAATAATTTACATTTTCTGAATATATTGTTGAAAAATCCTCATCTAAATTTCTTTTCTTTTTTTAATTGAAATTATTCTTGTGTATTTGACAGCCTTGTTTTAATGACGTTACTTGGTGCATTTGATGTTGAACATCTGATTTTGATTACTTGGTAGTTCTGTTCACTTTCATCTATCTGACGCAGGTTAGTTTTATGCTAATGTACTTAGTTGCTAATCAAAATCAAGTAGAATGCCAGCATATTTTAGAATTGCGCTTGTGCAGTCGAGCGATAACATATCAAGGCGGAGTACCTTTGGTGAAGTTATTTTCATTCAGCATCTCAAGGCAAGTTGGCTATGATAGGTTAGGAGGTATGAAGATTTATATGATAAGCTGTGGGATAATTTATGTTGGAAAGAAAGTATTTCAGATACCTAATTGAGATTGCAGTGACAAAGCTCAGCTTATGAAATTGAGAATATGCAAAGTGGGGAAACATAACAGACTGGCCTGATGATTTTCTGTGACATTCTAGGATACCGATTGAAAATCTATTTCAGATAACGTTCTTTTCATTGTTTTGTAATGAAATTATTCGTTTTCTGAATGTGTCGTAAGATCTCATTGTCTTGCTTACTCAATAGCATGGCATGTTTTATGTTATAAACCATGTTCCTTTTATTTGCTTGGTTGGTGTTTACTTGACCGGGCTAAACTATTGATATGAATGCATTTTTACGCACACGAATGACATAAAATTATGAGTAGAATGTATATGATGTAAAATGTGTCTTTTCCCATCATATTAAGTCATTTATTGATTCATAAAAGCAATCATGAGATTGTATGTTTTGTTTCCAGAGCTCATGGAGAACGACATGTGCTCTAAACTCTTGGAGAAAGTATTCCTGAAAGTTGTAAACTTAGTGTGAGATTCACAAGATTTGCAGTCTTGTAAAGTTTTAAGTAGCTGTAAGACCTGAACTTAGCATCCTCACAAGAAAAATATAAATGCTTTATGTGCTATGAAGTGTTCTATGAGAAACACACTCCAGAAAATAAGCGTTAATTGTTTGTAAGAAAGAAAAAAAGCGTGGGAAGGAACTTCTCTTGACGCTAATTGATTTTACATAGAAGAAGAGTAGCTGCCGAAATGCAGGAAGGTACTTGGTTAGTTTCATGCAACTATGGTGAAAAAAACATTATGCCAGGTGAAGTTATTTATGTTTTTATGAACTTATGTTGTTTCTACTCTATCTGGTTGTGATTGAGTTGTATACTTGGAATCCTTGTTTCAGTTGTAACTTGTCTATATTACTCTACTCGTGATCTGTGTCAAGTGTAGTGGGATGAGAATGATGCTTCTTGTAAGGTTATTGTGTGCAAGCATTAATTCATTTTAATGCTCATTGGATGAGATATGGAGTGATGTTTTGCTAAATGAAACAATTAATCTGGCTTGAGAGGCTTTTATTACCACCTTTTAGATGTAGAGTGAAGAAGTGAAGTTCATCAATAATTAATACCACAAAGCGGTTGCCTGGGAGATTATTGCTGCCACATGTGATCTTCGGTTTGAATGGGACAAGCGACGGGAGGATAAAAAGGTTCGATCAAATTTTTTTATGGGTTTAGATGGCCGTATGCATGGCCCAACACATTCACATTGAATCTCAATCGGGTTTATGCTATGATGATTTGGGAGGAACGAATGCAAACAACTATTCATGAGCAAATCCCAATTGAGACTTCGAGATATGCTACTCAATTTTTGGCTAGTTTTCTTGGTTCTTGAGCAAATCCCAATCGAGACTTTGAGATTTGCTACTTGATTTTTGGCTATGCAAATCCCAATCTGAGACTTCGAGCTTTGCTACTCGATTTTTGGCTAGTTTTCTTGAAGCACAAACCCCTGCTTGGCTTGTTTACAACAGTACTACAAATGTGTGCCATGGCACACCTAATTATTTGTGTGTTTACAGTGAGTGCGTTTGACGACTATCATAAAAATTCATCCAAATTGCCAACTTTTATTAATTTCATATCCATCCAATGCATATTAATATTACAATGTCAAAATCAAGACCTTTCCAAACCCCATCTCTAAAATTCAGAGATGACAATACAATACTTGTTAAGTTACAATTGATTCTGCTTCCAACAAACAGCTAGCTACAACACACACACACACAAGGCACAAATCATCAACTGGTATATGTATGTATATAATGGCATTCAATTTCTTCTTCTTGTTACTTTTTACCTATTTTATTTATTCCTTGTCTGTAAATTTGTAGGATGCGTAGGAAAGCGTCTGGTAGCTCCAGCTGTGGTGGACGAGGTAGCCCCTGGTGTTCTCCCCTGCCGCCCCCATGGCCACGTGGAGCGGGTAAAAATGGTCGGGCCTCGGGTGGGCCACCCTCGCGTGCGGGGCTTTGGCCTCGTAATCGTTCACATCCTCGTACCTCCCCTCCTCCAAGGCCGCCTTGATCCAGCTGTCGAACTCCTCGGCCCACCCCGCCACCCCGCCCCCGGCCCGGCCCATCTTCCTTAGGTTGTGGGTCGCGGCCCCTGACCCGACTATGAGGACCCCCTCGTCCTTGAGCGGCGCCAGCGCCTGCCCGACACGGTAGTGGTGGGCGGCGTCCCGGTGGGTCTGGACGGACAGCTGGCACACGGGGATGTCCGCCGCCGGGTACATCAGCATGAGCGGGACCCACGCGCCGTGGTCCAGCCCGCGCCTCCGGTCCACGTGGACAGGCCCGATCCCGGATCCCTCGAGAAGCTGCTTCACCTTGGCGGCCAGCTGGGGCGACCCCGGAGCCGGGTAGCGGAGGTCGTACATCTGGTCGGGGAACCCGTAGAAGTCGTGGATGGTCTCGCAAGGGCCAGAGACGGCGTTGACCGTGGGGTCGGAGGTCTCCCAGTGGCCGGAAACGATGAGGATGGCGGCGGGGCGGTCGTGGAGGACTTTGTGCTGGAAGGATTTGAGGAAATGTCGGGCCGGGAGGGAATCGTCTATGGAGAGCGTAGGTGAGCCGTGGGAGATGTAGAAGGTGTCCTTGATTTTGGCCATTGAGGAGGGAGAAGGATTAATGTTGCGTGGATGGGATGTTCTGTGGGAGAAATTGAGGATTATGCAGAGAAAAAGAGAGGCGATGGAGTATATGAAGAAGAGGGATTTGGTGTGCATTCCGTGGGTTTCTGCAGAAACGTTGCAGCTTCACCAACCCAACGCCACGATGATGTTGACTTTTTTGGTGGGCTTCCGCATGCTTGTTTATGGATTTTTTCAATCCAATTTTTTCAACTCAAATATTTAACTCAACTTTAACTCAACCCCACTATCTTTAATATTATTCATACAATTAAATAATAAAAACCAATCATTCTTACACATCACATCAACTTTAATTCACTATTCATCCACTCACATAATTTTAACTACCAATCATTTTCAATCATTTATCTCCTACTTTATATCAAATCAACTTTAATTATTTTTATTTTAAATATTATTTTAATATATTTTTTAAATTCCACTAACAATTAACCACATTACTTTTTCAACTTTAACTATAGTTTAACAAAATGAAATATTTTGGTTGAAAAAATCCATAAACAAGCGCCCCTTAAGCTTTTTTCTCTATCCTTAAATTAACAATTTCCTGACCGACTAATATGAAACATCACTATGGCTGCAAACGAGTCGAGCAGCTCGCGAGCCGCTCGCGAGCGCTCGAGTCAAAGCTCGACTCGAGCTCGAGTTTGACCGATCTCGAGTCGAGCTCGAGCGGCTCGAACACGAACTCGAGTCGAGCTCGAGCCCATATATTGCATTGTCGAGCGGCTCGCGAGCGAATCGAGATATGTGAAATTACTAAAATACCCTTGTATATATATGTAATTAATGGTTATTTTACAAAATTTCTTGAAAAAATTCGAGCCGAACTCGAGCCGAGCTCGAGCATTATGAATTCGAGTCGAGCTCGAGTCGAGCTCGAGCTCTTGTATGTTTTGATCGAGTCGAGCTCGAGCACCAAAAATCGAGCTCGACGAGCTTGAGCTCGAGCTCGAGCACCTAAAAAAAAAAATTCAATCCGCTCGATAAGACCAATGCTCAATTCGGCTCGGCTCGTCTGCAGCCCTAAACATCACTGTCCCGTTACAGAATCACTAGTATCTTCACCCGTGCGATGGACAGAACATATTTATTAAAATATTTTAATAAATACATTAAAATATATATATATATATATATCATAAAAAGTAAATGACAAATAAATAACATTATTATTGAATAGATAGTAAAAATATAATATTATATGGTATTACAAATTATGAAAAACTTCTTGATAGACAACATTTTTAGTAGTTTTCTTTTCCCCATTGTCGTCTCCCCACATATTAATATCTTAAATCCTGTGGATTAGTGACTCGAGACACATTAACGTATAATTGACCAGGACTAATAAACACCAGTCTTTTCATGTAAAGTCCGACATGGAATAACGACCGCTCTTGACTCTTGTTGATTGTCATTGCGTAAGAAAACATAAGGGTAAATTGTCTACGTTGGAACTAGAAGGGTATCATGAGATCAGATGGAGTTAGGGAAAGTCTTGATACTAATACCTTATGTCCACCATTTGATCCTGTTAGAATCTTACATTCAAACACGTGAGTGAAAAGTTTCGTTATCATCAAGCGTGTTCCATTACACAGTCCAATTGAATGATCAATGTTTCTCAACAATATGACAGGAGTCCCAACCTTTTAAGTGCAATTCATGATTTGGAAAACCAGAACATTTTATACTATTTAAGAACTCTAGAGTGTGCAGGTCATGCAAGAAATCAACACCACCATCGGATTTGAATATGAGAGAACAATATAACGACACAGATTTTGAATATGATATTTATAGCGTGAATTACTCCTATTCTTTACTCAAGTATCTTGGTAACTTTGGGTGTATTTTGTTAAGCATTCACCAATAATAATGCTTAATTTTTATTGACATTAATATAATTCAAGTATTTTGTTAAGCATTCACCGGCAAAATTTCAAAAATGATACATTAAATTGGCGTTGTCAACAAAACAAAAATTTTGTTGTCCCTCACGGAAAAGAAATATTTAGTTGACAATTTGGTCGGAAAGATACATTAATCACTCAACCTGGATAAATAACTGACGTGGCCGGATTAGATAATGACG